ATATATATATCTGTACACTCAATGAATCCCCAACAATAAAAATAAATAAATAAAATAAAATAAAAATAAAAATAAAAATCTGATCTGCTCATGCTATCCCTCTGATTGAAAATTTTAAATGGTGGGTGATGCCTGTGGCTCAGTGAGTAGGGCGCCAGCCCCATATACCGAGGGTAGCAGGTTCAAACCTGGCCCCAGCCAAGCTGCAATTAAAAATATAGCTGGGTATTGTGGTGGGCATCTGTAGTCCCAGCTGCTCAGGAAGCTGAGGCAAGAGAATTGCCTAGGCCCAGGAGCTGGAGGTTGCTGTGAGCTGTGATGCTACGGCACTCTACAAGAGTGACAAAGTGAGACTCTGTCTCAAAAAAAAAAAAAAAAAGAAAGAAAGAAAAGAAAATTTTAAATGGTTTCCTGGTGCACTTAGCAAAAACCAAAACCCTCAACACAGCCCACAAGGCTTGGTCCTACCTACCCTCCTTCTCTACTGTCCCAACCCCCTCACTCTCTGAGCACCAGCTACCCTGACCTTCCTTCTGTTCCTCCACTTGCCAATGTCTTAAGCCCAGACAGGGCCTTTGAATATGCTGATCCTCTGCCTGGAATGCTCTTCTCTTCACTGCATCCCCACACTTTTCACACAATCTTAACCTTAAGTTTTCACCTCAACTTAAGTCTTGTCTCAAGTCCCACTGGATCAGGCCACCAAAGAGTCACAAACTGCAAGTCTCCATCAGAACAGTTGCCACTATTAAATTGGAATAATTACTAATCAATTAGTTTTTTTCATGTCTGGCTCCTCTCTAGGCTGAGTCCAGGAGGGAAGGACTCACATCTCCTTGGTTCACCTTTGACCCCTGGCACTTGGCACAGCATCTGGCACATAGTAGGAACTCAGTATTGTGTCATGGATGAATGAATCTCAGTCTCATCAGCTGCAGAAAGAGAACAATAATCCCAGCTTCACAGAACTGCTGTGAGAAGTAGCTGGAATTATACCTGCACCATGCCTGGCACATAATAGTTGCTCGATAAAAGACAGCTCCTTTTCCCCAGCCCACATGCCACTGCTCCAAGTTTTCATGGAGGCTTTTTTCTCTCCCTTGTTTGAGCACCAATTGGCTGTCCTCTATCCTTTTCCACTTAGGACTCAGGCATCTGAGTCCACACAAACCTATCCACACTAGAGTGAGAACTCTGGCAGGTGGAGACCGAGTCTGAGTCACCCATGATTCCATGGCACATGGGGTTGGGGAGGAGAGGGGGAAAGAATAGGGGACTCACCGGGGTGGAGTTTGCCTCCAGCAGTGCTGTCTTCCATGCTCTACAAAGCAAATCCCACCAGACCATGAAGAGAGAGTTTGAGAGATTTGACACCCACATTTTGGACTTTCTTTCCCAACCCAATCTCAAGCCCCAGCTTCTTGTGAAGGGGGATTTCCTCTTGACTCCCTCAGGTACATAAGATTAACTCCTCCCCTACCCCAGTCACATGGATGGAGCCCTAAATTAGGCTAATTCATTCTTAGTCCCTAGTCTCTTCCCCTCTACAAGTTCTAATTTCTCCATCTATAGAGTGGACAGCTGGGGCTTAGGTGGTCTCTCTTTCTCTTGTTTTTTTTTAGAGATAGAGTCTCATTCTGTCACAGGCTAGACTGCAGTGGCACAATCATAGCCTCAAAATCCTGGGTTCCAGTGATCCTCCCACCTCAACCTCCTGAGTAACTGGGACTACAAGTGCATACTACAAGGATGTGCCACCATGCTCAGCTCTTGGGTGGTCTCTTAGGGGCCTTCGGATTCTGACATGCCTGAGTGGGTGCTCAAACAGCAACCCATCTTCACATCCCAAATTTATAAATAAAGTTCCCAAAGCTCTATCCCCAGAGCCCTAGGAAGGCCCAGGAGACACAGGACAATTGGGCCTTTGTTGGTTGCCATGGCTCCTGGCTGGGTTGGACAAGGCTGCTCTGTGCTGTCTGCTCAGCACTCAGCTCTCCCCACTCCCACACACTCATCTCACTCTCCTCCAGTGCAAAGGCCAAGGGTCCCTCAGCCAGAGGGTGGGAAGGGATGGAATGTGAGTGAGCAGCCAGTGCCTGAAGACACACCCAGGATGGCCAAGTGGATATGCATCTGACATCAGGGTAGCCCTCCCTGGGACACAGCCGGCTGCCTCTGTGGGCAGATCTGGGTCTACCCCTCAGAGGAGAGTTCCCCCACAAGGCATATTCTCAGAAAGGAATGGGAGGGAGGACTTTTTAAGGATGTCACTGGGCCTAACTGCTCCTTTGTATCACCCCTAGGTGAGAGCTTACCTCAGAGACCACTAAATACCTGATTCTAAATGACCAGGGACCACATGCCTGAGGTAGGAGCACATACGACTCCCCTGACAATCCTGAGTTCATCACAGACCACGTGAGGAGCCTACTGTGTCCCATACCAATCACCATGGGCCATTCAAATCCATTCTGCCCAGCCTCCAATGAGACACCCTTGATGATTGGTCTCAGTACCCTCTTCATACCATCAGGCAACAGAAGGCCCAATGAAGAGGAGGTTTCTGGTCACCTTCTCCAAGATTCTACCCGATCATCTTCTGGGAATGACTTACATGGCATCATCCCGGGTTTCTGCACATAGGTGCAGGCGGGAACCTTCCCGTAGGTTCACTGTCAGTAGGCCATCTCGGCTCCGGCCCTCTGGGGGCTGCACATCTAGAAGCAGATACACATATGTGGGTTTCCACAGGCACAGGCCTGAGGTTCACCCAGTAAACCAGGAATAAGAAAAGGAACTGACTTCTCTGGGTCCTATTTGCTGACCAATGCCAAGTTCCTCTGATCTCACATACTCTGTTTAGGATTCTACTCCAGTCTTCAAAGCCTTAAAACCTCTCCATATTGCTGGTTTCTTTAGGTACATCTCCTGGTTATCCTGTTGTAATTGTGGTCTGAGCCTTGGTCTAGGAATTTGGAGATTTGGAATTTGGAATTTGGAGATTTGCTATGACTCTGGGCCAGTCATGTAGCTTCTCTGAGCTTCCTTATTTCACTTCATCTTTATCTAGTACAGTGGTTCTCAACCTGTGGGTCACGACCCACAGGAACTGTATTAAATGGTCACAGCATTAGGAAGGTTGATCTAGTACCTAGCATCTAGAGGACAAGAACTGCATCTGACCACCTCTGAGACACAGCACAGAGTAGAAACTCAATAAAGGACTGATTTCTTAATCCACACCCCACTGAATTCAGCTGACAGAGGCTTAATAGCAATGTCTGGAAACCCTCTGAAAACTGCAGGGAGGCTTCCAGCTGCAGGCGATGTCAGACACAGTGGGAGGGCCTGCCTATAGTCACAGTGCCACAGAGGAAGGGGCTCTGCTCACCCTGGCACTCTTGGCCGATCTTTATGTCGCGTACATTGAAGTGGATGAGCACACGGTCCTCTTCGTCCTGCGCTGTCTCATCGTGATAGTAGCCCAGTGTCCCATCCAGCCACAGGGCGAACCAGTTCCGCTTCCAGCGGCGGAGAATGGAGCCTGTGTGATATTCCAGACCCACCAGGTGGGCTGATCCCAGGGCTTGGTGGGATAGGACCTCCCCACACCAGTTCCCAGAGGTCCGACAGCCTCAGCCCCCATCCTATAACCACCTCTTCCTGTCTACTCACCCCCTGACATGAGGGCAGGGCTTCTGTCTTGCTAACCCTCTGCCTCCCACTGGGCCTGATACACAGTGGAGCGCAATAATGTGCTGAGTGGATGGGGGCAAAGACCTCTCCCTACCTTTAGCCTCCATCTTATCTCTTATCCCTGACTTGTGTGACAGTTATTGGTGCAGTGTCTGCCTCCTCCACCAGACTGCGGGGTGTGGGTCCTGGCTCTCAGTGCTTGCTGGACTGAATGAACTGAGAATGGAGGGGGGTGGGGCATGGGAGGTCTTAGTCCCAGGGGTCCCCAGGTTAGCTTCTCTTCAGACCATGACTCTGGTCAAAGGGGGGTCTAGAAGACCTAGCTTCAGATGTTTTGCAAGTGGAAATCTTAGCACAAAAGGGCAAAGACTTAAGAGAGCTTCTTTCTTTTCTTTTTCTTTCTCAAGCTGTCGCCCTGGGTAGAGTGCCATGGTGACATCATAGCTCATAGCAACCTCCAACTCTTGGGCTCAAACAATCCTCTTGCCTCAGTTTTTGGTATTTTTAGTAGAGATGGGGTCTTGCTCTGGCTCAGGCTGGTCTCAAACCCATGAGCTCAAGCAATCCACCTGCCTTGGCCTCCCAGAGTGCTAGGATTACAGGCATGAGCCACCGTGCCTGGCCTTAAGAGCTTCTTAGAGCTTTACAGATTCCAAAACACGGAGGCATCTTTCATTTTCTTCTATGCCATCCCTGATAATATGGCCACACACTGGATCAAACCCAGTCCCCGCCCTTATGAAGCTTGCAGTCTGGGGCTGGTATGGGGTCTGGGATGTGGGAAGACCCACAGGGAAAGACAGGTCTATTATAAGGAGATCACTATAAGGCAGTGATTCTCAACCTGTAGGTCGTGACCCATAGGAACTGTATTAAAGGGCAACTCATTAGGAAGGTTGAGAACCACTGTGTCTAATCCAGCTTGGAGCTACAGCAGGGGCAAGAGAAGGGGTTAGAGGAAAAGTCAGAGAGGGCTCCTTAAAAAGGGGGACATTTGAGCTGGGTCTTGGAGAATTAGAAGTTTACCAAGCAGTCAGGAACAGGAAAGGCATTCAGGCAGAGGAAAGAGCACAGACAAAGGAGGGAAGGATAAAAAGGTCCTGGTTTCTTGGGAAAAGAGAAAGGATTCACCGTGGCCCAATAAGCCAAAGCCATTTCCCTCACCCCTGCCCAGGACAAGGTACAGGACACAGGAAGGCTAGGCCCAGGATCACTCACTCTGTCTCCATAGCCAGCCGCCCCTCACCAGGGCCATTTCTTCAAAAGGACTTTCCAGGGTGGAGTCAGGCGGGACCTGTCAGAGGAGCCACAGGACACACAGGCCTCATGAGCGGCTCCAGAGCACCTCCCTGGAGAGAAGCCCCCAGCCCTGTGCTTCCTGGGAGAGCCACCGAGGAAACGTTTAAGGGAATGTTAGTAAACAAACAAGGGCCAGGCTGAGTCAGTCTCCTCCCCATTCTCTGCTTAGGCAGAGAATAGGAGCTCTGTCCTCCAGGGTCAGCAGGGCAGCCACCAGTTGGCATGGTGTGGGGTGGGAACCAGGAGCCTAGATTCCACTTTCAGTTCCATAACCTTGGCCAAATCCCTTCTCCCTGCCCCTTTGGTCTGTCCTCCATTTATAGGTCTGTAAAAGTATTTCCATGAGGCAGGTAGAGACTAGAGTGAGGGACTCTTAAAATATTAGAAACGCTAGAATTTTGAAACATCGCAAGCACAAAATACTAGAATCATGGTAATGAATGAAGGAGTTTCATGATAAGAAAAGCCTCCCTCACACTTGAAACCCATCAGAGCTGTTTACAAAGTGTGTAAGATAACTGTTTAACAGCAACTATGATTGATCACTATTTGCCAGGGACACTTCTCAGTGCCTTCATTTAAGTAAGCCTCCCAACAATTTTTATTATTCCTACTTAGAGATGAGAAAACTGGGGCTTGGAGAGGTCCAGTCGCTTGCACAGGTCTACCTGGTTAGTAAGTAATGGAGCCAAGATTCACACACTGCAGTCCTGCCTTCCAACCATTTCACCAGCAGAAGCTTTGAGAATTACTGATGCCCAAGTCATACCCCATAAGAATTAAATCAAAATGTCTGGGCACAGGAGGCAAGCATGGATAGTCTTTAAAGATGCCCTGGTGATTCCGACTTACAGGAAAGTTTAGGAGCCAATACATGTACTATCTCACTTTGTCCTTCCTGTAACACTGGTAAGAAGGGAATCTTTACTATATTTTACAGATGAATAGACTGAGGAACAGAAAATGACTCATCCATATATATGATGGAGCTTGGATTGGGATCCAGGTGCCTTCTGTTCCTGAAGGCGAATTACTTGGGAGCAAGTGCCCCTGCCCTTCCCCCACCCGCTCACACTTGGTGCTGCGTAGCAAGGGCTGGCACACCTGGGCTGGGAGGCCTGGCCTGTCTTTTTCTCCTGCCACTCCCTCCCCTCTCCAAACTCTTGACACATGTCAGACAAGAGGACCAGGTGCAAACTCCCTTGCCAGCCCCCCTTGATGGACCCACCTGTCTACACCTGTTGCGGATGCTGCTGCCAAAGCGGCTGCTACTTGATCCTGCTTGCCACCCAACCCGCTGCGCCTGCGCTTTTGTGCGCCCCAGAAAGACTGCCCTGGGGCATTTCACTCTTCGGGCTGTGCCCAGGGCCTGGCTGCCCCTGGGGCCCGCCCCCCAGACCCGCCCCACCCCACGGAGGGGGTGTGGTGAGAAGAGATTCAACCATAGGCATGCTGGGACTTGTAGTCTGTAGCCCAGAGTGGGACAGACGCAGCCTCACCTGCGATTTTGTTTTTCTATTAAGACATTTGTTCACTAGTCTATCATGAAATACTGTTTCTTAAGAACCTGAGAACTCATTTTCTTTGTTTTTTTGTTTTGTTTTTTTTTTTTGAGACAGAGCCTCAAGCTGTCCCCCTGGGTAGAGTGCCGTGGCATTACAGCTCACAGCAACCTCCAACTCCTGGGCTCAAGCGAGTCTCCTGCCTCCGCCTCCCAAGTAGCTGGGACCACAGGCGCCCGCCACAACGCCCGGCTATTTTTTGGTTGCAGCCGTCATTGTTGTTTGGCGGGTCCGGGCTGGGGATTCGAACCCGCCACCTTAGGTGTACGTGGCTGGCGCCTTAGCCGGGTGAGCTATAGGCGCCGAGCCGAGAACTCATTTTCTAAAAAAAGGTAAAGTTTCAAGGAGAAACCAAACTCCTTGTTTTGAATGTTTTTTCAATGCTCAGTTTGCGCCAGGCCCTGAACTAAGTTTCTAGGGCAGCATCAGATGCTGCCCTTCCGCCTCCGTCCCCAGCTTCCAGCCTGCATGGAGACCCTAAATGTAAACACGCGGTTTGAGGAGACCCTAAATGTAAACACGCGGCTTGAGTACAGCATGTGACTTAACGAAGGGAAAGAGTCTGCCTTTCTCCAAGTTCAGAAAGGCTTCCCAGTGAATGCTGAAAGGGGTTTTCGAGGATAAGTGGCAGTTTCCCAGGACGAACATCTTGAAGATGTTCAAGAGTGCCCAGTCTTTCACTGTGTTCGGAACACAGAGCTGCAGGGTTTGCAAGGAAACAGCACAGAGGCTTGGATGACAGGCTAAGAGTTTGGAGATTATGAGGTAATGACAGGAACTTGGGGGTGGGGATTTCGAGATGAAGAGTTGGATGGTGTGATTAGGAAGTTGGAACAGTCCCCTCTAGGGCACAATAGAAAACGGATTGGCGGCGGTCCAGCCGGAGAAGGAGGACTGTTTCTGTATCTGTTACCTCGGTCTGCCCTTGCAGGATCACTTATTTGAATAGTTCAGACTTCCAAATCCCCACCTACAGCAGACACGGAATGTCATTCTGAGAACAGAAGCTATCAGGACCTAAAAGGCATCTAGTCTCCTCTCTTAGGGAAGGCGCCCCCCACTGCCCTGGGCCCTTCCTCCAGTCCCAGAGAACTCTTCCTTACCGGTGCTGCAGGGCTCATGGTTCCTGGGCGGCCAGGGCAGCATTTCCGAGAAGTCCCTGCAGGGGGTCATTTCCCTGAGCGCCTTAGAGTTAAGGGGATCAGGAAGGTGCTACCAAGTGGAAGTCTGAAGGGGGAGGCAAAAGGAAGCCTGCAGATCCTAGGATAGGTTGTCCTCCTACTTCTGTGCAGGCCCCAGCCCCCACCGCACAAGCTTCCTGACTGATCTCTGGGTCTGACCCTCAGTTCACTGCACAAGACGTCCAAGATTAGGTGGTGGTATTGGCCTAGAATCGCAAGATTCCCTGGGGTGTGGGGGTGGGGTCTGCTAGGTGGGGGGTGGGGTGGGGCCAGTCCTCCTCCCTCAGGCTGGGGCGGGGCTAAGTCCTGGTCTCTGGCTTGGCTGGACGTCGCCCTTCACCCCAGTCCTGGCTAAGCAGCCAGGCTCCTTAAGCCTCCCTGTCTTGCTCCCGCATTTCTGTAATCCTGACCTCGAGCCACCCATGCGTTTCGTCCTTTGGGGTAGTGTGTGCCTTGGTGGGGGATTCGCCATGTCATATCCTATTAGTCACTGACCTCTTCCCCTCTTAGCAGCCCCAGGAAACACCTCTCCCAAACCACTCTGTTTTTCATCCTTGTGGCTTTAACTCCCTCTCTTTTGGGTCCCCTGAATGTCCTACCCCTAACTTCGCCTGGCTAAGTTTTCCACCCCCACAGTAGAAAGATGAAAGGAAGGAGGAAGGGTTAAGGGGTTATGGGAGGTGAAGGAGAGGTGATAGGGGAAGGGAGGAAACAGGGAAGGCAGGCAGACAAGGCTGAAGCTGGCCTCAGAGAATCTGGACCTGGATCAGGCCTTCTCAGCCTCTCCCCAGCACCCATTCCTGACAGTCAGTTGTGCACCCTTCATAAAGGGGTGTCTGTGATGCAAACACCTAGATTTCATTTTCCAGATTTAGCAACCAGACAAAAAAAGGAAGCAGTGTAGAATTCAGGAGAAGACTATGCTGGGGGATCGAGAGTCCTGGTTTCCCGACCCCAGTTGACCTGGTTCCATAACTCGGCAGAACTAGAAAGTTCAACCGAGGCACGCAAGAATAGAAAGCAAAAGTGGGTAGAAAGCGAAAGTAAAACTGGAGCAGCACAGGAAGCTGAAATAGAAAAGTCACTTGTGCAAGGTTTAGTATAACAAAGAGAAATTTTATTTAAGAGGAATGAGAAAGCTTAGAGCACTTCCAAAGAGAGTTGGAAGTGGGTCCAGAATTCTCAGCAAGAAAAGAGACAGAGGCAAAGGCACTGAAGAGGTATAAATTCCCTCTCTCTGGGTTTGAGATTGTTTGTTACTCTTTCTTTGGTCTTGCTGCATCTCCAGGCAGGTAACCTATTGGTCAGTCATCGGTTACCTCATACCCATATTCTTCTCTCTCTCTCTCTTTTTTCTTTTTGGCAGAGTTGCGTAGTGATGATCTAACTGTTGAATGTTCCTATGGGCCCTCCAGACTTCCTTGTTTGGCCGGCCAGGCTTTCCTCCCACCCCCCTTGAGCCCTTTCCTCTGTTTCTTCTTTATGACAAGAAAAGGTAGAAAGGATACTGGGCAGTCTAAAAACCACAGACATCAGCTGTACTTGGCTTGTGTCTCTAAAATGCTGGCCAATGACCCTCTTTGAGAAGCTAATGATAGATGTAGATACTCCTCAGGAAAAAACATGTCCATATGAGTCACAACATTCTGCATACATTCCTGGGCATTTATAGACCCCTAAAGCTGTGATGACCACTATTGGATTGTAGTTGGCTTTTTGTTGTGGTTTGTTTTTCATTCTTTTAGTTTAGTTTAGTTTAGATTTTTGTCGGACGGGGGTCTCACTGTTGCCCAAGCGGGAGTGCAATGGCACAATCACAGCTCACTGCAGCCTCAAACTCCTGGGCTCAAGTGATCCAGCTCCCAATGCACTGGGATTACAGGCCGGATTGTTTTAAATATCCAGAGCTGTGTAGATGGGAGGAGCGCATGAATTGTGTGGTAAGATGTATAACCAGCCCCACAAACAAATTTCAATGACCCCTGTATGTTTTTTATAAACCTCTTCCTTAATTTACTTGATCTTTTGAGTTGTTTCTCAGAAATCATGGATTTTCTACAAGACAGAGGAACTGAGATTCTGAAGGTCCCAAGGCAGACTTCCTGATGCCAAAATTCACCACCCCTCACACCCAGCCTCCAACCCACAAAAGCCTCTTGTTACACCACAAACTCCCCCAAGGCTCATAGCCTCTCTTTTATTTTATTTATATATTTATGTATTTGAGACAGTCTCACTATGTTGCCCTCAGTAGAGTGCTGTGACATCACAGCTCACAGCAACCTCAAACTCTTGGGCTTACGCGATTCTCTTACCTCAGCCTCCCAAATAGCTGGGACTACAGGTGCCCACCACAACGCCTGGCTAATTTTTTGTTGTAATTGTCATTGTTGTTTTTGTTTAGCAGGCTTGGACTGGGTTTGAACCGCCAGCCCTGATGTATGTGGCTGGCACCCTAACCACTGAGGCATGGCCCCTCTTTTAAAAGCCTCTGTTCTCCATTAGTCTAAGAGATGGATCTGAGGCAGCTTTCCCAGTTCTCCTAACAAGATTCTATCATATTAAATGTCTTTCTTTCTTGGTAATCCTCATCTTAATTCAATCTTTGTGTGATGAGCAACTGGACCTAAGCTGAAACCCCTGTGCTTTCAGAAACAAAGGCATGAGAATATATCAGGAATCTCAGCCTCAGCAGTCCGTCTGTGAGAGAGAGATTTTGTCTGTTTATTCATTTAATCAGCTAAAATTTATGGAGACCAACAAGCCAACAAGTAACCTTTCCATTCCTCTTGTAACTGTGGCACATAAAACCATTGACAGAGAGAAAAATGTTTCACTGTTTCAAATGTTTCTGGTGGATAAATAGCTCACAGATAATATATTGTTTAGAGAATAGTGGATTGGCTTATCAATTTCAAATTTACTACTTACATTTTCTAGATAATATAATGAGAATAATTTATATTATCTCTTTTTACTAAAAAAAAAAAAAAACACTTGAAGTCCATATCAAGAGGCAATTTGAGCAAAAGTAAAACCGCTCATGTAAATATATATATATGTATTTATTTATTTATTTATTTAATTTTTTGAGACAATCTTACTATGTCACCTCCTTAGAGAGCTGTGACATCACAGCTTGCAGCAACCTCAAACTCTTGGGCTTAAGCGATTCTCTTGCCTCAGCCTCCCATGTAGCTGGGACTACAGGTGCCCACCACAACGCCTGGATTTTTTATTTTTATTAAATCATAGCTTCGGTAATGGGGTACAGTGTGCTGGTTTTATATGCAATTTGAAATATTTTCATCAAACTGATTAACATAGCCTTCATGGCATTTTCTTAGTTATTGGGTTAAGACATTTATATTCTACATTTAGTAAGTTTCACATGCACCCTAGTAAGATGCACTGTAGGTGTGGTCCCACCAATTACCCTCCCTCCACCCATTGTCCCCCTTCCCTTCCCTCTCTTTCCCCTTTCCCCATATTCTTGGGCTATAATTGGGTTATAGCTTTATTTTTTTTTTTTTTTT